CCCCCCCTCCCGCCGGGTGCGAGTGTAAACTCCCGGCGCCGGGGCGGGCGGCCGCGCGCGGGCCAGCGGGCTGAGCTGGGCACTGAGTGGGGGCGCACGCTCGCGGGACCCAGGCCCCGCCACCTCCTCTCCGTCCCCCGGCTGCGTTCTCAATTTCGAGCAGTGGGAGGACGGGAAGCGGGAGCCATGCAGTCGGAATCGGGAATCGTGCCGGATTTCGAAGTCGGGGAGGAGTTTCATGAAGAGCCCAAAACCTATTACGAACTCAAAAGTCAACCCCTGAAGAGCAGGTGAGTGGTGACAGCTGGATGGAGGCTCGGCGGCCGGCCGGGGGACCCCGTGCCTCCCACCCTAGGATGCAGAAAGCAGGTTGCCCGGGCTCTGGGACAAGGACCCCGTGCCCTTGCCCCGGGGCAGAGGGCGAACTGCCCCTTGCAGTTGGGGTCTGTACCTGTTCGGCCGGTGCGCCTTGGCGAGGCTCCTCCTAAACGCACTTCGGGGGCGCGGCGGGAAGCCCCGGGTGGCCCGCCCAGGAGAGGGGACCCTCGGCTGGGGATACCAGCTGCTGAGACCAGGTGGGGGGCTGGGGAGGGACCGGGCGCCGAGGCGGGGGAGGAAGAATGCGGGGCCGCGCGAGTAGCCGGATGGGAAGGGGGAAAACTGTTTCCAGCGAACCCCTTTTCTGAAGATCCCAGCTAGCTGACTCCGAGAGGGAAGGAGAGCTGGGAAGGAGAGCTTGTGGTGGGTCGAAGCGCGACGTTGGAGGGAAGCAATTAGCTAGTTTGTTGTCGCCTCTTAGGAATTCGGTCCCTCTGGGAAAACCCGCCCTTGGCTGCGTGCAGGTGAGGTTTCTCTGAGCCTTGCCTCTCACCTTCCGGACCGCTGCGCCTGAGCGCGGGAGGGGGTGGGAGCAGCTGATAGGCGTGTCTCAGCGTCCGGGTTAAACCCCGGTGGGCAATAGAGTCCCATTCAAATTCTGGCCTTCCCTGGAAGGGAAAAAGCCTTGGTCCTGCAGAGTATTGGGTGTGTGCCCTGCTTGGCAGCGACACGTATTTAATTAGCTAGGGACGTAAAAAAGTTTTTAGGAAAGGAGAGAAGACACCCGCTGGTCTGGCGCCCTACCACCTCTGGTGCCCACTTCCTATTCGACCACCGTTCCCACTTACCTGTGGAATGGGTTGGATATCTTTTTCTGTCAGTCCTGTTACCACTTCGGACATATCCAGTATTTACTAAGAGGGAGATGGTCACTTGAAGCTGTGAGAATAGAGAGGGTTTATTTCCACTCTTCTCAGTTGTGAGATAAGGCTATATGAATGAAAGGTTCCGAACTGCTTCTGCACCCACCTCAAACCTCCCTTGCCTGCCCCTCACTGTGAGTAGGGCCTGGGTCAATGGGCCTGGCTGGCAGAAGGTCCAGAAATCAGGGTGAATGAAGAAGGGGAACTGAATCATCAGTGAGGGGGTGTAATCTTTGCTCTGGCGTGTAGGGGACTTGCACTTGGCTTGTAGTGGAAAGCAGTGCCTATTTCTCTTAGGGCTGTGTCAAAACTGTGAACCCAAGTTAGGGAAGAAAATCTGTGAACAGTACACTCAATGCCCTGGTTGCTGAAGCAGCCTCTTTGCAGATGCTAACGGAGATTGGAAGGAAAACTACTCTGCAGTTAGACGAATAAAACCAGCCTTTAGTTGGTGATTTCTTTTCATAATGGCTGTTTTGTGCATGAGCATAGATTGTGTGTGTTGGGGGTTGGGGGTTTTGAGTAATATTGTGCAAAGGGTATTGTTGGTTATACTCACTGGGGCTTTATCTGCACTCAGCTGAAGGGACCAGTGTTTTACCGAGCAGTCTCTGCTTTTGCTTCTATAAGCAAATGCTTACATGGCCAGAATGAGGGAGGTAGTGTGTGTGTGTGTGTGTAGTCCTGAAAGAAATGAATTAACTGGACTGTTTGGAACATTTTTGATGGTAGCTGATACATAACATTAAATGAGTTTGAGAGAGTGAGGAAAATACCATCTGGAATAACCCAACTGAATGCCATGAAACTCATGTTGAAAGATCTGGGCCTGTTCCTTTTCAGAGTCGGCAAAAAATTACTTGCAAGGGTGAATGTCCTCGGTAGCTAGCTGGCATATGTAAAGAAAAGTGTGGTACGTGGGAAGAAATGGCTTCACACGTTGAAGCTAGAAACAGGTGTGGGACAGAACCGGTGGAGAGGAAGGCTAAATTAAAAAAGTTGTTGTAAAACTGTCTCTGGAGCAGACACATGCTCTTTGAAATAAAGCAGTTAAATAAAATCTGTGAATAAATATATGGGATTGGCACAATTTCCCTATACTGTTTTCCATAGTTGTCTAATGTATTGTCATCGACATCTGTTGTGTGTCTTTGAAAGGGTCACACATTTTTCAAGGCCTTCTCCTGGCTTTTTGTCCTAAGTCTCTGACTGGTCCCTCCCTTCTTATAAGTCTTGGTTGGAAAAAGTTGAAATTGAAAGGTTAAGGCTGCTGTTGCTATTTCGTTTATCAATTGGATTCTCAGGATTGTTTTTTCAGGATGAAAATATGTCCAGAATCTGCCCACTTCTCACCAACTCCTCTGTTACCACTTCGGTCCAAGCCACCATCAGCCCTTGCCTGGGTTAGTGCAGTAGTCTCTTAACTGTACTCCTATCTTCTACCCTTACCTGCTTTAGTGGGTTTTGAACACAGCAGCCACAATGATCCTGTTAAAACTGGTTCTCTACCTATGGGCAATTTTGCCTCCCAGGAGTCATTTGGCAATGTCTGGAGACATTTTTGGTTGTCACAACGGAAAGGAATTCCTACTGGGTTCTAGTAAACAGAGGCCAGAGATGCTGCTAAACATTCTATATTGCACAGGACAGCCCCTATAGTGAAGAATTAATCTGGCCCCAAATTAATCTGTCACCACTGAGGTTGAGAAACCCTGTGTGAAAACCCGTCATATCATAACATTGTCTACTCAGAAACCTCCAGTGGCTCCTAGTTTTAGCAAAACTTGAGATTCTTAAAATGGCACAAGGCAGTCTATATGGTCAAGCTCTCTGTCAGCTCTGAGTTTATCTCTTGCTGCCACTTCTAGCTCCCTCTGCTCCAGCCAGGCTGGTTTCGTCTCTGTTCCTGGAACACTCTAAACCCCTTTATCTCAGGGCCTCTTATATAGTACTTGCTAGTCCCTCTGCCTAGACTATCCTTTGCCTCGAGAGCCACAGTGCTCCCTCCCCCACCAGCTTCAAGTCTTCCTTTAAATGTCATTCCTGTGAAGCCTACCTTGACTATGCTATTTATAATTGCTAATCTTCCAAACTCTCATCTTCTTAGCCTTACTCTATTTTTTCCATGGTACTTTATAACCTATTCTATAATTTTCTAATATATTTATTATATGTTTCTTCACACTAGACTGCAAGCTCCAAGGCAGCAGGTATTTCTGTCTCTTCTTTGTTTACTGTTGTTTCTCAACCTTGGGCTATTGGCATTTTGAAATGGATAATTCTTTGTTGTGGGGGCTGCCCCGAGCATTACAGGATATTTAGCAGCATCTCTGGCCTCTGCCTGCTAGAGGCCAGTTACATCCCTCCCCCTGAGTTGTGACAACCAAAAATATCTCCAGACATTGCCAAATGTCTATGAGAGGCAGAATCACCCGTTTTGAAACTGCTGGCTTAGAACAGTGCCTGGCACAATAATGATATGTTGTTTGAATATGTGTTGCTTTCTCCTTTAGTACCCCACTCAGGATGAGTGTTTGATGTTTGTCTTTGCATTCAACATGCCATACCTTTTAAAATAGGTATCTTCCAGACTCTCTCCAAAGAGGAATTTATACATTCTTCATTGGGGCTAAGCTCAGATATGCAAGTGTTTCATTCCTAACTCTGACCTTCTGGCCTTTAGGAATGTAAAGCTGCTGGATTTAGATGATGCGAACCCCATTTTGGTCCTATTGACCGGTAGAGCTGTGTTGCAGGAAGACACACGCTACAAGAAAAGGTTCTAATGAAGATTTATTTGCAGTTTGGTTCCCCCACCAAGGTTTTTGAAGTCTTTGTATGTGGTGGGAATGGTGGGTGGCAGAGGAAAAGTGCTGAATATCAAGGGTGAACCAAGAATTTACACATCGGCACATCATATCTGGGAAACAAATGCGAAACTGTTGAATTAGCTCCTAGAAGCGAAGAAACTCTCTGTAAGTCTTTGGGACTTAAGAAAACATTTTAAAATATGGCAGCATCTTTCAGGTTCATGGTTGTTTTGTTTGGTATACTTAATTTTGTGGGCTTTGTAGTTGATAATGCCCCTTTCCTGGACAGACTTAAGAATTGACTTAATCTAATTTCAGTTTCTTCTCTTCTCAAATTTTTAGTGATGTTTTAGATAACTGTTATTTAATTTCCTGCAAATTAGAAATAGGAATTAAAGTGAGTTTTTGGTTTATAATGGCGGGACAAGATATAGCGGTGGTTCTCAAATGCTGATTAATAGAGAGATGTGTGAAGTTTTCACAGTTTGTGGTGAATAAGAAAGACAAAGACTATCCTGTTATACGCACAGTCACATACATACATTTCATTAGAAAGCCACTGCCATTTCATAGATTAATTCTGAGACTTTCCCCTTCTGTCTTCCTGTTAAAAATGCCCTTTCTTTTATAAAATGATAATCTATTCTTGGAAAAACAAAACTGTCAACTTTTATTGGCTTCTGAAAGTTTTCTTGATTTTTCTGGTCTGTCCAATCTAGGGAACTCCTTGAGTGAAGATTAAGAGTATTGTCTGGCATCACGGTCGGTCTGCCCCTAATAACTAGCTGAGTGACCTTTGGCAGGGTAGATGACTCTAACTTCAGTTTCCTCATCTGGAAAATGGGGGCCTGCCTCCTAGGAATCTTAAGAACATTAACTGTGACATTGACTGTAGAAAAGTATTAGCATGGTGCCCGGTACATCGTAAGTACTCAGTCAATGTTGGCAGATGTTGTTCTTGTTATTTTTTTTTTTTATTGCTTAGCAGTGAGTCCTGACACTCCAGAAAGTGTTTGCATTTGTTGACTTTGGCTTTCTTCATTAAGGCTAGTGTTGTTATACAATAAAATACTCCAATTTTAGTAAATCTTTTTTTGCTTTCCTCCTACTGAGGTGTTCAGACAGTTTTTTTGCACTTTATATTATTATTCCAATCCATAACCAACCATTTCTTTATGCTGGTTGAAGAAACTGTTGTGGCATCAGTGCATAGGTAAAAGTTCATCATATTCAGCAGGT